TACTGAAATGTTATTGATTTTTGAGTGTTGACTTTGCATACTACTATGCTACTGAATTTGGTTATTAAATTTACAAGTCTGTTGGGGTAGTCTTTTATGTAGTTTATCATGTCATCTGCATATAATGACATTGTCACTTCCTCTCCAATCAGTATTTTCTTTATTTTTCTCTCTTGCCTAATTGCTCTGGATAATGGTTCCAGAATCATATTGAGTAAGGTTATTGACAGTGCACATTCTTGTCTTGTTCCTGATTTTCTAATGAAGGCTTTCATTTTTTCTCCGTGTTGAATGTTGGTTTGTCATAAATGGCTTTTATCAGGTTTCAGTAAAGACCATCTATTCTGACTTTCTATAGGATATTTATCATGAGTGAGTGTTGGACTTTGTCAAGAGCCTTTTCTGCATCTTCTGAGACAATCATGAGATTTTTGTTTTCTTTGCTCTGTTGATGTGGTGTATTACACTTATTGTTTTCTATATACTGAAACATCCTTGCATTCCTGGAATGATGGGCACTATGTACCATCTTCTTCATGATTAGCTGCATTCCATTTGCTAGTATTTTACTGAGGATTTTTGCAATATGTTTTTTATGTAGATTGGCTTGTAGTTCTCTTTTTTGGTTAGGGGTTTCTCTGGCTATGGTATCTGAGCAAGACTTGCCTCCAGGACTGGGTTTTTGAGAATTGTCTCCTTTGAACCTCAATGAATGTGTTTCTTATATATGTGATTTTGTTGGATTTTTTTTTTCTTCATCAACTCTGCTAGTCTTTTTTTCTGATTAGTAAATTGAGTGCATTTACACCAATGGTTATTCCTGGTATGTACTGGCTTATCTTTGTCATCCCTTTCTTTTGTGATTATTTTCTACATTACCCCTCTATTTAATTGTTTTCTCTTTTGGTATTTCCTTTTGGGTACTTTACTTGAAATTACCTTTTTCTAGAATATCTTTCAGTAATCTTTGGGAAGTGTTGGCATTAAATCTCTAGATTTTTTGTATAATTTAGTTGTGAATTCACTAGGACCTGGGCTTTCCTTTATTGTTAGTTTTTTGAGTTCATTATCTCTTTTATTGACTGATAGTGGGTGTTTTTATATATTCTTTATTCAGCTTTGGTAATTCATAGATATCTAGCAATATGTCCATTTCTTTTATGTTTTTCCATCCTATATGACTAAAGATTTTCAATGTAAGCATTGATGATCTTTTGAATTTCTAGAAGATCTCGATTGATTTTACCCTTTATATTTCTTACTCAAGGAATTTAACTTTTTTAAATGTATTTGGTATAGTGGGTCACTACGCAAGTCAGACTCATACTAATAATCTGCCTGGATGAGTGTCTGGTTCAGTGTACTCAGTGGTGGGGCTCGCACAGCAAGGAATTTTAATTTTTTCATTTCCTTCTTTTGAGAAATTTGGCTAGGAGGTTGTCAATTTTATCCATTCTTTCAAAGAATGACTCTTCATTTCATTGATGCTTGTTTTTTTTTTTTTTTTTTTTTTTCTCTTTGTGTCCATTGCATTAATTTCTGATCTTGTAGTTCTAAATTCCTGCCTTCTTTGGGCTTTGAAATTGACTTACTTTTTCCTAGAATTTTGACATGCCCTCATGTGGAAATTTACTATCATCAATTTCTCTCTTAGGATTCCTCTCATTGGGACTCACAGTTTCCATTCAGTTGTATCTGAATTTTAATTTGATTGTAAATGTTGTTTCACGTCTCCTTTAAATTCATTCATGAGCCATTGATTTTTCAGAAGTTGTTACTTAATTTCCATGGTTCTTTGGAGTTTTTGTTATTTCTTTTATCAATAATTTCCAGGTTTATTGCACTATGGTCAGATAATATGCATGGGATAACTTCAATTCCTGTGTAATTATTTATGTATGTTGTATGTATTAATATATGGTCTATTTTGGAGAATGTCCCAAGTACAGCTGAGCAGAGTATGTATTCTGGTGCTCCTGGGTGTCACACTATGTAAAGTTCTAGGAAGTTCATTTCTTCATATGTTTGGTTTAATTCTGATTCTTTGCTAAATTTGTTGCCTAGTTGATCTGTCTATTTATTTCATTATGTTGGTAAAGTCCCCCAGTACAACTGTGTTATTGCTCATTTGATTTTTATTTTCTATTAAAATTTGTCTTATATAATATAATTGGGTGCCCCTACATTGAGTACATATATATTTATGGTTGTTATCTCTTCCTCTTGCAGTGTTGTGTTCCCCTAACAAGTATGTACTGAACTTATTTATTTGTATTGATCATTCTTTGTTTGATATTGATGTTGTTAACAACCAGAATAACTACCCCTGCACAATTCTGGGTTCCAGTCACAGGAGTGGACTGTTTTCTATCCTGTGACTTACATCTAGTAATTACATCCTTTTAAGTTAAGTGTGTTTCTTATATATATGATTTTGTTGGATTGTTTTTTCTTGCTCAGCTCTGCTACTCTTTTTGTTCTGATTAGCAAATTGAGTGCATTTATACCAATGTTTATTCCTGATATGTACTTGTTTATCTCTGTCATCCCTTTCTTCTGTGATTATTTTCTATATTTCCTCTCTATTTAATTTTTTTCTCTTTTGATATTTCCTTTGGGTACTTTTCTTGAAATTACCTTTTTCTAGATTATCTTTCAGTAATCTTTGAAGTGTTCTTTTGATGATTATGAATTTCTTTGGGTATTCTTTGTCAGGGAAGTATCTTACTCCTCTATCAATTTTGAAATATAGTTTTGCAGTGTATATCATCTGGGTTGGAAGTTGTTTTCTTTCAGGACATGAAGTGCTGCACTCAAATCTCTTCTTGACTTATTACTTTGTGTTGAAATCTTTCATGATTCTGATGAGCTTTACATTTTAGGTGATCTGTTTTTTTTTTCTTTTAAGAGCTTTTAGTATGTTTTTCTTTTATGGTTAACTTCTGGGATCTTGATTATTATATGTCTTGGTGAACATTTATTTTTTTATTAATTTTATTGAGAAAAAATTGCAATATGGCTGTTTCAAAACAGGTTGGTAGGAGAGATACAATAATTAATACATTGCATATTGTTGTCTTTGTAGTATCCATTCATAGCACAAGATACAGACATGATGTCATGTCCAAGCACTATTAGTACAGATCCTTTTTATATTGAATTAAGAGAAAGTAGCTATACATCTATTCTATTTTGTGTATACAGAAACAAAATTGTCCTTCATTTTTATCACCTTTTTTGTTCAGTTTTTTCAGAGATGGGTATTCCATTACTATCCAAATATTGTAGGTGCATGAATTCAGCAAAATATTCCAGTATAGTCCAGTATGCCACAATAGTAATGGGTTATCCACAGGACTGGCAATGTCCGAATCTGATGACTTTGAGCCTTCCACAGCTTAGCATATTAACATGAATTCACTTTTCATACCTTACTTCTACACTTTTCTGCTGGATGGTTAAGACCAAGATAAAGCAAGACTTATATAATTAAAAAATGTAACTTTTGTATCTGATACAGTCAGTCAAGTCTCCTGCTGACTTATCTCAAAACCGTGTACTGCACTATATAGATCCTTTGTCAGTGTCAGCCATGTGGATGAGTCATGGTCATTGCTTGACCAATTTGCTCTCTGTGAAAGCCTGAGAGAATGTTTTCTCTCCATGTGACTCTCTTTAGGCATGCACTACATCATTGATCACATTTGATTATGGATGGTGGAAATTTTCTGCGCCTCACTTAAAAGAATTTGTATGTCAGATTCTTTTCCAATGCTTGGGTAATTTTCTGCTGCAACTTCTGCAAGTAGTCTTTTTATGTAATTTGTGTTGACTTCTCCTATTTTCTTGACACCTCTCAGTCTTATATTGTTTTGTTTTGCAACATGGTGAAGCTGTTGAATTATTTCCTGGTTCCTTGTTATTTTTAAGAGATCTTTCCTTCTTCATCACTAGGCAAAATATTGTCTTCAAGGTCTAAATATTTATCTTCAGTTTTATTCAAGTAACTTTGCCAGCTTTGAATGGAATTCTTAATTTCCTGGATATCTGTTTGAATATAATTTATGTACTGTAATTTTTTCTAAATTGTTAATTCAATCATTTTTATATTCTCTTCTATTTTTTCTGTCTTCTTGAGATACACTGAGAAATTCTTTCATGATTGTCATCATTTCTTTTTTAATTGAAAGATTATTACTGATCCTTGCATAGGTTGATGAATTTTTTTGTTTAGTTCAGTTGCCATCACTTTAGAAGTTTCAAGTTGGAGACTTCTAAGTTCTACTATGTGTTTATCTCCTGGATATTTTATGTGTGTGCTGGAGGCTGGAAATTGTCCTATTCTCCATTATTTTGATATTTTTAAGCTTCCCTGTGCTTTGCAGCCCGAGGTCAGGTGTGGGTTGAGTGTTAGGAAGGCTTCTGGGTCAGTGGTTCAGGTGGGTTAGCTCACCCAACCTCCCCCTCTCTGTTGTTCAGTGTGGCTTTAAGAATGTAAGGGTAGAGGTCAGCTGCAACTACACATGCTTCCCATGATGACGGCAGTCAGGCTACACTTTCCCAAGCCTCCCACAATGGTGTAAGTCTGAATATGGCTAGCCAAGATGTCTAATGGTAAGGTGTTGGGTTGCAACTCATTGAGACTTCCATCACAATGCTCTCCTCATGGTGATGTGGTAAGGGGTGTTGATGCAGCCAAGTGAGGCTGCCGTGATTGTGGGGATGGCAAAGCAGAGCTCACCAAGGCCCTGAAGCAGTCTGGGCTCAACTTGCCTTCTCTGATAGAATCTTAACGTAACTTTGAGTTGTAGTTCTCTAGTGACTAAATATTTTGAACACTTTTTATGTGCTTATTGATGATTTACACATTTTTCTCAAGAAGTATTGATTCAGTTCAATTGCCACTTATGAATCATTTTATTTTCTTTGAGTCTGGGTGTTTCTATAGAGATCAGGTTAACTTCAAATTCCTTTTTTTACTGCAGACTTGCCTGGCACTATCAGTGCTCCTCCTGGGTGATGGGATTACAAGAGTAGTCCACCACACCAGCCCTGTATTCATTGGTATTAAGTTTAAGAGTCTTTATATATTTGAATATTAACCCTCTTTCAGAAGAATAGTTGGCCGATATTTTTCCCCAAGATGCCATAGCCTGTTATGCTTCACTGTTGTTTTCCCTGTTGTGCAAAAGCTTTACAATAGATGCAATTTTATTTATCAATTGTGTCTATTATTCTGTGATATATTAGAGATAAATATTCAGAAATTATTTTTGATAATAGACTCACTTGATTTAACTTGGCTGGTGTGAGTTTATCTTGTTGTGTCATATACCACTCAGCAGTCATGCTTTTACAGATATAGGATCCTAAGTAAGGTCATTATGTCACAACTTTCTTACATCTGAATTGTAGCATGCTGAAGATGTGCAAGTGGAAATTCATCCAGAGTGTGCTACCTCTTGTGTCTTCCAACACTTCTGGCCTCAGACTACAATGGCCCCAATGAGTTATCACAGTATGCCAGAATCACCATCTCTTCCAGTGACATGTAAATGTTCACCAGAAGCAAAATATAGCAAGCATGTGAAAGCATCATGCACAAACAAAATGAAATACAAATAATTTAGTTATTTTTGAATAAGATTTCTAGTGAATTCAAAATATAAATCTCTCTGGGTTAAACTGACCGGCCCTGTGGAAGGAGAAAAACCAGGGATATTTAGAGAAAGTTTCTTAATCCTGAGGGATGTTTAAAGGTGAGATCAGAGCCTATTATGTGTCTCCTATAAAGAAATAGATCGATAAGTTGTTTGTGGATAGATACCTAAGTGATCCTCCCCATGCAGGAGCCCTAGGCACTCTATCTCATGGTTGGATGTCACCTTGGCCTGCCAGCATGAGGAGCCTGGACTCTACTGCCAGGCTAGGCTGAAAGGGCTCAGACTACAGAGTTTCTGCCCAGGAGGTGATACTGAGCCCTGTGGGGATGCTGGGCTAGAACAGGGCTCATCCAACCCAGGTAGAAGTGGAGAGAGTTACAAATTGGTCGGTGAAAAGTGAGAGAGGGGAAATGTGTTGGTAGAGGAGAGAAAGGTGGCTTAAGAACTGGAAGGTAAAGGGGATTTTGGCTAGGGGCACTGTGGGATGATGGGGATGGTATGGAAAGGCCAGGCAGTGAGACAGGAGGTGGACTGAACTCAGTCCTGACCCAGAAAAGGGCAGAAAATTGGATCTGGGAGTCTGAGGCCCACCTCAGCCTCTAAAGCAGCAGACAGCACTGAATCAGGAGAAATCTTTCCCACTGGAGAGAGGACTGGGAACCATGAATCTAAGTGCCCTGGCCTCCTGGGTGCCTGGAGTTACTCCTTCTCCTCTGCTTCCTTCCTTGACAAATTGTTGGGGGCCTGATGGATGTTGCTGGCTTAAAGATGGTCAGAAGCTCCTAAAGCCCAGTGATTTCATATTTGGAGCATTATGCAAGGAGGACATGGGACTGTGTATCAGAGGAGAGTTCCTAATGCTGCATGCTCCACAGTTCACAGGGAGAAGCTCCACATGGGAGTAAGGGAAGAAAAGAAGAAAGGAAAAAACAGGAAGTCACAACTAGAACTTAAAGCCGTGCAGTTTCATAGTCACCAGGGTTCTGTGAACAACTAGTACTTCAGCTACATTTACTTTAAAAAAATATTCATGTATTTAGTACAGGATCTCTATGTTCCTGGGACTCATGGTGATTATCCTATTTTCAGCCTCCCTAGCACTGGGTTTGTAGACATATACCAATATGTCTGGAATCTATGGCTGTCTCAGCATTCCCAGGGGGAAGGGCCACTGCGGCATGTGGTGCCAGGGATGGAACCCACGTCCCTGAGCTTGCCTAAGGAGGTGCTTAGTCTCTTGATCTATCTCCATGACCCCACATTTACTCTTGTGAACTATTTAGTATCACAGTGCAATCCCCATGGTCCATGCTCATGAGACCATTTCTTTCATTCAGAAAAGCTGGTGAGGCACAGGTGAGACCAATTTTATGCCTGCTGGTATAAGAGTCCCATGGTGCTCCTCACTGAGGGTGAAAGGGAGAGATCTTTGTAATGAATTTTTTGGATCTTTCATTATTTCTTCCATAGAATAAAATGACTTGGATTATTTTGTTACAATACCAGAGGACCCCCAGAATCTCCCAGAAGATAGAAAAGGGAAGTCTGTTTGCCTTCTACTGGTAGTGCTCTGAAAACCCTACAGCTTCTTCCCCCTGTCAAGGACTTTGAATAGGGATCAGGGTAGGGTTGGTCTGTCTGCAACCTGTGACCAAGGGCTCAAGTATAACCCCAGCTTTACTTTTCAGTTGTAACTTAACTGAATCTTCCTATGCAATCCTTAGAGTGACTCTCATGATAACATCATATTAGTTACCTGATATTTCCCCATCTTTTGCTCTTATTCACTCAGGGCATTGAGTAGTGAGCGCATGGCTGGAGAATCACAGCTTTCCAAGTCCTGAACTGAAGGCTCAGAGATTGGGCATCAGACTGAATACATTTGGAAAGTTTTTACCATTTCCAGTTTCACTAGGCCTTGTTATTATGTTCACTGCTGATCCCTAAGAATAGACAGTTAATAAGTACTCTGTGTGCCTATTTGTTGATTGATTGAAACCAGTATGTCTTCCTATCCTTCTGTAGAGAGGAGCCCTTTGAAAGGCAAAAGACTGATACAGTCCATGTGTGCTGAGGGACTCTTCCTATTTTTTTCCATAATTTTATTGAGAAACAAATAGCAATGAGACAGTTTCAAACCAAATTGGTAGGACAGTTTCAATAATTAACACATTGCATACATTCTTCCTAGTGGTTAATTGCTGTACAAGATGCAGACATGATATCCTATTTACAAACACCATTAGAACAAATCACTCTACTCATTAAGAGAATATAACTATATATCTATCCTATACACTTTGAATACACACATACAAAATGGACATTCATCTGTATATCCTTTTTTTGTTAAGTTCCATTATTTGAATATTATAGGTGTGTAAATGCAGCAAAATATTCTAAGAGAGTCTAGTAGCCCATAATAGTATTGGGTCTTCCTCTTTACTGGCAATGTCAGAAATTGTTGACCTGAGTCCCCTACAGTTCAACATAACAGCATGGCTTTACTTCTTATATTTTGTTTTTATACTTTTCTGCTGGATGGTTAAGAACAAGATAAAGCAGGACCTATGCAACAAGAGTTGTAGCTTTTGGGTTTGATTAGGTCAGTGAAATCCCCTCAGGATTTATCCTGAGATCCTGTACCTCAGATTTTAGAACCTTTGTCAGTGTCAGCTATGTGGATGGGTCATGGCCATTGCTTGGCCAATGTGCTGTCTGTGAAAGCTTGAGAGAATGTTTTCTCTCCATGTGACTCTCCTTAGGCACACTCTACATTAGGCCAACTGTGATAAGCAGGGATAGAGTGACGAGGACTCAGGTGGCTCATTGACCAAGGGCCTCTGAGCCTATGAGAGAGCACAGGGGTAAAAGGTCATGCCTAAGTGAGAGGAGGGGCCATGAGTTCTTATCCCAAAAACGTTGTCTTCCATGGGCATTCCATGGAACCACATGTGGTTCTACATGTTAGATGGAGGCATTTAAGGAAGGAACAATATCGAATCCTTGTGACTTACTGAGGACCTGAGTTGGTGGGCTCTGACAATTGTCAGAAGAGAAAACAAGAATTTTCAGCTGGGTAACTATAAGCCTAGGTTAGTTTTGGTTTTAGAGGAGAAGTGGAAGGAAATAAATTTCAGTTGAAAATGAAGAGTTACTGCAAATACTCCGGAGCCACTTTATCCTTGAACTTGTGGGAGAGAAGTGTCTTGCTCAAGAAGATCCTGCTTTACTGAGTATCATGGGACTGAGTGATGACCCCAGTGTTGCTCTACAGATCTGAAGCACCCATGAAATTATTCCCCTTCTTCTCTGACATGTGACACATAAAGTCACATGTTCACCCTAAGACCCAGAAGTTCTGTACACACATATTCTGATGTTGCTTAGCTTCTGTCCTTGCAAAAGGGAAGGCTGTCATGGAATCATGTTATTTGGACCTGGTTTATAGCTTTGAGTGGGAAGTTTGAAGATATTGAAGGGAGCAGCAAGGGTGGAGGCAGAAATCCACATAATTGTGTCCCTGATTTCCTTATGATGGGGTTTGTCTCTGTGAAGGAAAGTAAATGAAGAAACAAGAAACTGGTCTTCATACTAAGATGAGATATTTATTTTGGTGTTGGTGTCTGTACTAGAACAATTCTGGACCCAGGGCCAGGAAAGATGGTAGCTCACAGATGGGGCTTAGCTTCTCCTTACAGTGAGTGTTGTTGTATGGTTTTATTTATCCAGTCCAGATAGGATGACAGTTTGGTATAGATACCTGGAGCTCTCCCATTTACTCTTCCATAGGAGACAATGCCCTGGGCCACTTTATTACACACAAGAGGACCTCCAGAGTCACCCTGTGAATAGAGAGTGAGGCCATAAAGGAGTGCAACTAGACATTTCCCCCTGATATCCTATACCCCTTTGAAGTACTACTTGAAGTCTGCTGATGAGAGAAAGGGGGAATGACAGACCCTGTAGTTCATAGCTGTCAAGCTCTGACTATAGATATTGTTCATGCTTTAATTCATTTACATGATCAGCCTTTGTCTGTGCACGAGTTCCTGAGACCTCATCTCTGTAGAGTCCTGTGGGACCATTGGTTTCTGGCTATGTTAAGGACCAGGAGACAGGTAAGGGTCCAGACAGGGAGCAGAAAGATGAGCCCATTGACCAAAAGGGTCAGAATGTTCTGGGGAACAAGTTAGCTAAAATTCTGCACACTCATGGAATGGCATCTAATGCCTGGGATGTGAGCTAGGCCACCTGTTACAAACTCCTGATTCCAGAGGGACACTTGCCCACAGGCCACTTGTTGAAGTGGTAAATACGTTAATTACTTAGTTGCTCAGACAGCACCCTTTTTCTCTCTTCAGGGAGAACTATCACAGCCACTAGGTGGGAAGATCTGCTCCTTGAGTCTTCTGGTCCTGGCTCTGTCCAAAAAACCCTTCCTCCCAAGGCCAAGTGTGACAGATCCCCTGTCTCACCTTAGAGGAGTCTTTTTTAATCTTTGGGTCTCCAACACACACCTCTGTAGCAGCATTGTAATAACGAAAGCGGGTCTCACATTCCTCATCCTTTTGAACTGTCATCTCCACTTCCTGCAGTGTGTCTGTATGTCTCCCTTTGGCCAGCCGTCCCCATCCAGCTACCTGGCACACAGCACCTGGTTTCACCTCAGACTTGCCTTTTGGCAGCCTGAGAAGCTGTACCTCTCTAGTCAGGTGTGCCTTTTCCTCCAGCTGATGGAAAAGAAGTAAAAGAGTACAGATCAACCTGTGCTTTTGGGTCTTGGACACTGTGATGGACATGATGGAAAATATGGAAGAAGAATTCCAGAACTAGGAAGGAAGAAATCAGGAGGATCACTATGAGTCTGAGCTATGTAGTGAGACCATGTAAAAAAAAAATAAAAAGGAAAGAGGCAGAGTTCCAGTGTGAGGGGAATTCCTGTGCGAGGAGAGCAAGGACAATAGAGATGTATGCCTTACCTGCAGCAGCATGATGTCATTGGTGACTTTCCATGGATTGTATTGTGGATGTGGGATGTGTCTTTTCACACGTATGAGCTGCTGAGTCTTCTCCTGTTTCTTGATATTGTGGGCCCCTAGGAGGATTATTGTATCTAGAAGTTGTGAGTACCCAGGGCTGTACAGAAAGGAGAATGTGTTAAGGGATGTGAAGCCTCAGAGCACCCATCCCAGGGACTGTAAGGAGTAGGCTATAGTTTGTACATGTTTGAGCTCCAACTAATAGGAGGGCCTTCTGCCTGAGTGACTATGCCCTCTGCTTCTTAGTAACACAGGCCAAAATCCTGGTCCAATTCATCAAAGTTCTCAGAGCTCAATTACCTCCAGGAAAACACATGAAATTGCTTTACTTTCTATTGTTATGCCTATTTATGGGGGAAGGTCTTAATATATCAGGCTTGCCTGCCCTAGTCCTCCTATGTTGGCAACTCCTTGGGTGACAACTTGCTTGACTCCCCTTGTGATATGACTAGCCCCCTTTCACCCTCAAAGAATCTCATGCTTGTGTGTCTCTAGGACCTCAGGTATCTCCTTTGGAAGAAGGGACCCTGAGAAGTGTTTCTCTAGGTTGTGGGATGTTCCACATTCCTTACCTTTTCAAACAGTGAGCAGCTGTCAGCACAAACTTCTCATGTATCAGGAAGCCCCCACAGTGCCTTACAAATTTTTTATACCAGAACTCAAGGTAAGCCATATAGGGGTGGGAGTGTGGTTTGGCTTCATGTCCCCCGATGATCTCCTCTGAAAGAAAAAAAAAACCTGCCTTTAAGACATATGACCATCTACTTGGTGGCTCCAGAACTGCTGTACATTTGTCAGCAATGTTGTTGGGAGGAACCTGGAGGCAGGAGCTTCAGCCTTATCTGCATGGGGAGGGAAATCTTGTCTGGGCCTAGAAATACTGCTTTTCCTAAAAGTTAGAAATGAACATACCTATCTGGAGAAAATAAATTACCAGATGCTTTTCACAAATCTGCAGACTTCTCATTTCTATTGAGTACCTAAATATCTCTGAAGCTTGTGATGTCTAGCATGGTGATGCTTCCTACTGGCAACATTTCAGGTGTATTTAGGTGTTGTGTGATCCTCTTGCCCAGGGCCTGACAAGTAGTGGGTTCCTCAGAACTGTTCATTGATTGTGAGGGAACAGCTCCAGTCAGTGTTTGGATAAAAGTTGGTAGGGCAGTGTTGGTAGGACTTTGGAAGCCAGAGAAGTTACAGTTTGCCTATGTACCTCAAATAGGAATCAGGGAAACCAGTGAGGCTCAGGAGAAAAGCATAGGTGGATAAAGAAGTGTTCTGGGGAGAGTGAGTCCATGCATTCTTTGGTCTCTAAGTTCTGGGCATCTCTGCTAAGCAACTGATGAGGACAACACCTTTCTCCTCCCAGACACAGAAGACAGGAGTGCTCTGCTCTCTCCAGGAGAATTTAATATTTTCTCCTGTAACTTCTCACCCTTTGCATGCACTTTGAGGAAAGATTCACTTTCCTAATGACAAAGGTGTGGTCTAGTGAAGGAATAGTGTCTCCTGGCTCTTGGTGAGTAAAGTTTCTGGTAGCCTATCCAGTGCCATACTTGAGGTTCTCTGGTGGGACTGTATGTCAGGTTCAGACCTATCTTGGTAGGCTGAAGAATCAGGGTGTGTAGAAGGACAGGGAACCATGTTCTCAGTAGAATGGGGTTGGGGCTCAGGGTGGTGGAGATGGTAACTTACCTGCCCTTATCCTGGGGTGCAGAAAGAATGACAACAGGAGCACAAGAAGCTGCATCTTCCCAAGGAGGCTTCCCAGGTGAGAACTTCTGAGGCTTTGTCCTTGTTGTCTTTTATCTTCCAGCAGAGGAAGTGGGAGGAGTTGGCTCAGTGCCTTTATGCTTCCCACTGGTTTTTTGATGTTTCATCATGGGAGACTTTCTAAGAAAATGCCCATATCCAATGATGTTTTAGATAACATCTATGTGGTGGTTTGCGAATCATATAGTAACCACAACTGATGATTCAGAGAACACCTGCTACAGCTCTCAAGACAAACTCAAGTGTGTAAATGGGAACTGGAGGATGTGGTATTGCCAAGCACAGCCTCAGTACCCTGGGTTCTCAGTAATAGAATTGACAATGTCAGAGATCTACATCCATCATGACAGATTCTGCAGCAGATGAGCATTAAATTCCTCTCTTGTTCTGGGAGCAATCCTGTTGGAGAAAGAGCTGATAATCTAGTGGAGATATAATCCCATAACCAAATTTCAGGAAAGATATGGTGGAGCAATGAGCTAAGCATTACCACCATACACATTGTCTTTGGTTTCCTTCAGTGTATTTCTCATTTTCTTTCAGCTTTTAAATATTTTAAAGATAATGGATATATAATTGTTTAGTCTATCCAGTTTCTGAAATTTCTAAGGTTTATGTAGGCAATTTCTCTTTTTTGTAAATGCATCATATTTTATTATTTCATTTTTTTCTTTGATACTTTTTGCTGAAAAGTGAGCTTTGGGTATACTGTAAATGTGATGGTTCACTCACATTGGAAAAGGGACTTTCCTTTTCATAGCTCTTTCTTTACCAAGTTCAAAGATCATAGTTGAGCTCTCTAGGGGTATCAGTTATTTCTCTTATTATTTTGCTGAGGATCTCATAATGTGTATAGTCTTAACATGACTATGAAAAATGTGGCAAATTTGTATTTTGTTGTAGGTCAGAGCAACAGAACTGAGTCATTTACCAAATCCTGTAGTATATGATTGTAAAAGTGATATTAAATAATTCTTCCTTTCTAATTTCTGCTTAGTAATTCTTGTGTTACGTCTTTATGATCTGATTTTGGTATATCTTTGATATAGATAACCCTCTGCTACTGAGTTCCTGTAACTTACTAATATCTGTAGAATAATGTAAGACATATATGTAAATACAGTAGTCAGTCCACGTCATTCCAGACAGCTCTCACACACAAAGCAATAAAAGCAATACACCAAATCAATAAAGCCAATGACAAAAATCATGATAATATCAATAGACACAGAAAAAGCTTTTGACAATATCTAAAATGCATTTATGATAAAAATCTTATAAACAATCAGAACAGGTGGTCTATATCTCAATCTGATAAAAGCTGTCTATGGGAAAGTAACATCCAACATCATATGAAATAGGCAAAAACTGAAAGCCTTCACTTTAAAATCAGGAAGAAGAGAAGGATATTCACTGTCTCCACTTTTATTCAAAATAGTTCTGGAAACAGCTGGAGAAATTATATGAGAGAGAGGGAGAGAGAGAGAGAGAGAGAGAGAGAGAGAGAGAGAGAGAGAGAGA